GATCTTGATCGTAAGAAGTGGGACATTTTGAACCGCAAGTGTTTGATGGTGGCTAAGTCCACTATTTTAGATGCAATAAGGGGATCAATCCTAGATTGTGACACCACCACTGAGTATCTCAAGAAGGTGGAGAGTCAGTTTACTGGCTCTTCAAAGGCTTATGCAAGCACTCTGATCAAGAAGTTATTCAATAAGAAATACTCTATTGGAGGGATAAGAGAGTACATATTGAAGATGAGCAACATGGCATCCAAGCTTAAACCAATGGATTTGGGGCTCAAAGATGAGTTTATGATTCATTTGATTTTTGTTTCTTTGCCCAAAGAATATGAAACCTTTGTTGTTAATTATAGCATGCAGCCCGATAAATAGGACATTGAGAAGCTCATTGCCATGTGTGTGCAAGAAAAGGAGAGACTTAAGATCTCACATGGAGACTCCGTCAACCATGTGAAGGACAATAAAAGGAAGAACTTTAATAAGAATGTCAAACCACAAGGGAAAGCCCCTCAGAATGATCACCATCAGAAGAACAACAATGTCCAAGTTGACAAGGATCAATGCAAATGGTGCAAGAAGTATGGACATTACCAGAAGAACTGTCTAGAGTTCCTGAAGAGCCTTTTGAAGAGAGGTGAGGACATTATTACATTCATAGATGAGTCCTTGTATTTAAGTTATGCAAAATCTACTTGGTGGATTGATTCAGGTGCAACTATTCATGTTGCAAATTTATTACAGGGATTCCATACGAGGAGGACCCTGCAAAGAGGAGAAAGACAAATTAAAGTAGAAAATGGAGTTAAAGCTGAAGTTAAAGCCATTGGAGATCTCTCTCTAGAACTAGATGATGGTTTTGTACTTCAGCTTTCAGATGTCCTTTATATACCCTCTTTACGTAGACATTTGATAAGTGTTTCATGTCTAGACGATGATGGATATGATTGACATTTTGGTAATGGCAAATGTCAGATTGTGTTTAATAATAAGTGTGTTGGTTTTGCCTTTCGACAAGACAAGTTTTATTTGTTATCACTTTCTGAGAATGTGAATGTTGTGAGCACTGAGAATGAGAATGCCTCCTCGTCTATGAATGAAAGAAATAAGCGAAAAGAGAGTTCATGATGTATCATCGAAATTATGGCACTGTCGTTTAGGCCATATTTCGAGGGGAAGAATAGAGCGATTGATTAAGAAATCAATTCTTCCGCCATTAGAATTTTCAGATTTAGAACAATGCATTAATTGCATAAAAGGAAAGTATGTTAAGAAAATAAAGAAAGATGCCAAATGAAGTGCAGAAATTTTAGAAATAATTCACATAGACATCTATGGTCCCTTTTCTGTGAAGAGTGTGGATGGTTATGATTCATTTATAACATTCACAGATGATTATTCTCGTTATGGCTATATTTATCCAATTAAGAAAAGAACAGAAGCATTGGATAAATTTAAGATATTTAAGGCTGAAGTAGAAAATCAGCACAATTTAAAGATTAAAATAGTAAAATCCGACCGTTGGGGGAGTACTACGGTCAACACACCCCATATGGCCAAGTTCCTGGACCTTTTGCAAGATTCTTAAACGAAAATGGCATAGTTGTCCAGTACTCTATACCGGGAGAGCATCAGCAGAATGGAGTAGTTGAAAGATGCAACCGTACCTTAATGGATATGGTGAGAAGTATGATAAGTTACTCTACTGTACCGATAAGTTTATGGATGGAGGCGTTAAAAACCGCCATTCATATTCTTAATCGAGTGCCAAGCAAGTCGGTGCACAAAACACCATATGAGTTGTGGACAGAAAAAGAACCCTCACTTAACTATTTACGTGTGTGGGGCTATCCAGCTGAGGCTAAAGTCTTTAACCTAAACATAGGGAAGCTAGACTCCAAGACAGTCAATTGTCATTTTATTGGCTATCCAAAAAAGTCAAAATGTTATCGCTTCTATTGTTCTGACAGACATACGAAGTTTGTAGAAACGAGACACGCTGTGTTCTTAGAGGATGATATGGTCAGGGGGAGCATGGTAGCTCGAGAAATTAATTTTGAAGAGAAGCGGGTATACGTGCCCACTTCGATGGTTCAGGAGTCATTTTTCTCGCTACATGTTGCTGCTGCACCAACAGTTCAGGACACTGTAGTGACAGCACCTGATGTTAGTTCTCCTGTGGCAACAATGAATGAACATGAGGAACCTGTCATTCAGGATCCTATAGAACCCGTTGTCACACATGAGGAAGAGCAACAACAGCCTCATATAGAACAAGCGTCAACTAACAAGGCCCCTAGAAGGTCTCAAAGAGTCAGGAAATCAGTCATTCTTGATGACTACGAAGTCTGAATGTGAAGAATTTTAAATAGAGGGTGATCCCACCTCATTTGAAGAAGCCATGAGAATTGCTTGCTTATCAAAGTGGCTTGAAGCCATGCAAGATGAAATGAGCCTAAAGGAGCCAAGACAATAGGTTGTAAATGGGTCTACAAAACTAAATATGACTCCAAAGAGAATGTAGAAAGATTTAAAGCGTGACCTATAGTGAAAGGCTTCACGCAAAGAGAAGGCATAGATTACAATGAGACATTTTCTTCAGTCTCATGTAAGAATTCTTTTAGAATTATAATGGCGCTTGTAGCACATTACGATTTAGAATTACATCAGATGGATGTAAAGACGGCGTTCCTAAACGGGGATTTGGAGAAAAATGTTTACATGACACAACCAAAAGGTTTTGTTGTGAAAGAAAAGAACATATGGGATGCCGCCTGAAGAAATCTATTTACAGATTAAAACAAGCATCAAGACATTGGTATTTAAAGTTTGATAGTACAATAAGAAAGTTTGGGTTTTAAGAAAATGTAGAGGACAATTACGTTTATGCAAAGTTCAAGAATAGGAAATACATTTTCCTAATCTTGTATGTAGTGATGTTAATCTACTACTAGAAATGAAGTTCTTGTCCTCGAATTTTGATATGAAGGATCTCAGTGAAGCTTCGTTCGTTCTAGGAATAGAGATTCACCGAGATAGAAGAAAGGGAGTTTTAGGATTATCACAAAAGACATACTTAGAAAAGGTTCTAAAGAAATACAGTATGTAAAATTATAAGCCTTCACCTGCTCCTAGAGTCATGGGCGATAGATTTGGGAAATTCCAATGTCCCAGGAACCAATATGAGATCGATCAAATGAAAGCGGTTCTATATGCTTCAGCTGTCGGAAGTTTACAATATGCTCAAGTGTGTACACGCCCTGACTTAGCGTTTGTTACCGGGTTACTTGGCAGATATCAGAGTAATCCAGGAATAGAACAGACTGGTAAAGAAAGTTTTACATTACTTGCAATGCACAAAAGGACTCATGTTAACGTACAGAAGATCTGATTCCCTGCACATAGAGGGGTATTCAGATTTAGATTATGCGGAAGATGATAGAAAGTCCATGTCAGGATATATATTTACTCTCATAGGAGGAGCTATATCGTGGAAAAGCTCCAAGCAAACCGTCACTACATCGTCTACAATGTATGCTAAGTTTGTAGCGTGTTATAAGGCCACATGGCAGGTGAATTGGCTGAAAAAGTTCATGCCCGGGTTAACAGTGGTAGACGACATACATAAACCACTCAAGTTATACTGCGATAATAATCCAACAATATGTTATGCTCACAATAATAAGTCAAGTGGTGCTGCCAAACACATTGATATAAAGTATTATGTTGTGAAAGACAAAGTCCGGAATCATATAATTAGTCTTGAGCACATAAGTACAGAAAAGATGCTGGCGGATCCGCTTATAAAAGGCTTACCACCCAACGTGTTCAGAGAACAATTAGCCGACATGGGTTTAAGGAAAAGCCTATGATTCCTGGACAATAAGGGCCTAGTTGAGAATCTGTTTCAAAATAGAGAGGTGCATTGTAATTGTTAATCTAATGGCACTGACCGTGACGATGAGGCACGCTCTATGCACTGATCTGTGATGGAATAGAAAAAAGATAAAGTAAGTAAAGTTTAAGTAATAATATGAGATCACGGGGGAGATTGTTAGCGTTAATCTCTCCAACTAGGCCTAACGGCCAAGTTGGGCCTTGACCTCGCGCCCTGATCGGGGACGCCCAACCCTACAAGGTTGGTGGGCCACCGTCGCTGTTACGGCGCCTTGACTTGCTCCGGAGGAAGTAGGGAGGGGAGATGACTGGCCGGGGCCTGGCGGCCCGACGGCGAGCGGGCGCCGTGCTCGGCGCGGGAACAGGAGAGACGACTCGGGGCTGGGAGCCCAAGGGAGATTAGATCTCAAACCCAGGCTGAATCTATTCCATCATAATTGTTCAATACTTATACAATCCAATCTCTAATCGACTCAACTCTAACTTAACCAAATAACAAACTAAGGAGATAAATATCCTAGATTCTAGGACTTGCTAACCAACTGGCCAGCTAAACCGGGCTCTCAGCCACGGTTCCTGCACCTGTAGACCGTGGTGACCGCGCCCTGGGCGCCGTGCCGTTCGGCCAGCTTCCTCGGTGATCAGCTCTAGCCAGTGGTGCGATCCCGACGGTGGTACTGTTTTCCCACCATAACAGTCGCACTGTGCTATAAAGAGAGGTGGGGATCGGCGGCTCTCAGTACGAGGTTCACCGTGAGCCGCCACACCCACCAATAAACCCAATCTGATCTAGTGAGGGGCGCAGCCAGCGACGGAAAGCTCTATTGCCATCTTCACCGCCGCATCTGCACCACCACTGCACTGCGACTGACCTCAACACCGTCACCACGACACCGCCGACCCGGACCGCATCACCTTCGCCATGGCTACGTCGAGCTCTTCCTCCAAACCCACGGATGGTCGGTGACATCTCACCTCACTTCCTCTTTCTCTCTCTCTCTAGATCATGATCTAGGAAGTTTTTATCCCGTACGTAAGGTTGTACCCGCTAGATCTATGTCTAGGTGATCCACTATATTTATCAAAACACTGATAATTACAAAGAATTAGTGAGATGAGTATACCTGGTCTGGCTGAGCAACATCAGAGAAGATTACATCAACCATGCCAACCAACATCCGATACCTTGCCGGCTGCCTGGCATCCTCAATAAAGGGAATGACATTTGTCCTCTTCTTGGCCATATTGACAAGGTCTCTTCCACTCCTGTGAGAGAACTCAACAGCATAGACCAACCCTTCCTGCAAAGTAACAAAATTCAATGGTACTGTAGAAACAGTTAATGAAGTCGCTGATCAGTATCGGAAACGTAGGTGACAGCGTGATCCCTCACCGGTCCAACAATATCAGACACATGAGACACAGTTGTTCCTGAAGCAGCACCAAGGTAAAGCACACGTTGGCCAGGAGCCTAGATTGTAAACATGTTTGTACATTAGGACAGCAACAGGAAAGCCTTTTTTTTCTTACTGAAAGGGCAAGATAATAGATAACTAACTAATGTGTGTTCAGTCTGAGTAGCTTACAATCCAGATGTTGTCAACACCGCCAAGCACAGCAGCAGCCAGCTAGGATCGGAAGGGGTTCCACACCCTGTACTCTACCTTTGTCCCATCCTCTTTATGTAATGCATGCCAAAACGGCCTCGTTCGCGTGCCCTTAAACCCAGCTTGATCCGATTTTTTTTTATTTGGAACAGTGTTTTCCTCTCACAGATTCCTCCAAAATTCCTCTAAACCATCTAAATTCCTCAAGAACCATACCATCCTAACGGGGCCGACAAAAGGTAACCATACATGATGGGTCAAGCTAGTGCTAGATCGCTAGAATAATGCTAGTGAAATAAACCTCCAGTTTAGACTTTTGACATATACATATATAGATCTATAAAACACCATTGGTGACAAAGAGGTAAACTAATTTAACCACATTTATTAGATTCCACCCACATTTGCACAATAGAGAGATGACACAACTACATAAGCAACAACTAGGATGAAGCACGGCCAATGCAAAGGAAGGACCTGGACGGAGACGCGCTTCTCGCCGTAGACGGACTCGCCGGAGTTCATGCTCCTCGTGCAGAGCGCGTCCTCCTTGGCTTTAGCGACGAAGACGCCCTTGTGCTTGTGTGGATCCACCACCACCTTGCTCCCGCCCCTCATGCCGCCGCCGCCCCTACGGCTGCCGGCCGGCGCCGTGCCACGAGGCGGCCTACACCTGATGCCGTTGCCCCCTCCTTTCCGCGGGCCGTCAAACCTCCGTCCGCTGTCTCCGCCATCTAGTGGCGGAAACTTCTAGAGAGGGCAAGCAAAGAGATGAACTCAAAACTCATTCCTCATACATAATAAATTTTAGTATTTGCTAAAGAAACTTTCTAACAACACGGGGTGCCATGGCCACCTTTGGCCCCTTCCAAGAGAGGTCCCTGCCGCCATCGCCTCTCCCCCCTGCCCTCCAGCTGCGGCCTCTGCCTGATCCTCTCCTCCCGCCGTACCCTACAGGAAGGGAAACATTAGGTCAGACAGTTTGTTGCACCGATCGAGCAATTGAGCGGTAACCCAGAATGGTCTGGCTTTGGCTGCTAGCTTGCCTCGTAGCGGTGGCCTCATGGTGGTGACGACGTGCGTAGTCGACGATCACCTCGTACCCGCCGCCGCCGCCGCAAGGCAGAGGTTTAAAGTTTTTTCCGAAAACTTTTTACCCTTTTTCTTGGACGAGGGTTTAGGGTTATATGTGTGTGTAGACACAAATAAAAATAGACAAGCACGCTGAACAAAAATCACGCCTGCGCAATTTTCATTCCAAAAATGTCGCTCTGGAGTCTGGACCATAAGCCCATACCTGCGCTCGTGGGCCCTTGAACTTCAGCCCGGGCCAAAAGATCCTCCAGCGATTTCCCTCGCGTTAAATTTCCGGCCAATTTCAACATCGATAAAATCAAGCTTAAGTTAGCACTGCAGTCCAAAATTCCCTAAAAAAAAGCACTGCAGTCCAAAAGCTTTGATGTCAGCTTATCAGTTGAAAAAACCATCATCTGAACAGCCCGTGGTCTCTAGCTCGTTTAAATTTCAGTGAGTTTATTTGTAATTTCTTGGGTAGAGCTGGTAAAAGGGCTGCCCATGTGTTGGCGGGTTTAGGTTATGGATGCATCGAAGGGAGGCGCTAATTTCCAGCACCATCCCTGATGATGTCTTTGTAATTGTCTCTGATGAGTAACGAATCAGCCAAAGTTCAAAAAAAAAACATCAAGCTTAAGTTACGTACGTATTATTAAATTAATCACAATTCATCAGCAGCAGCAGCAGTTCATACATCACATTCACACCAACCTAGCCAATGTTTACACAGGCAAAACTTGCCGTTTCAAGAGCTGGCAAATAACCTAACTCAGCCATCATCAGCAATCTACTTGAGCGTGACACGAGTGCGGCAGCAGGTGGTGTCATCTGAATTCTGACCTGAGAGAGTTGCGTGCTCTGCGTAACTGTGTTCCTGCTTCCTTCAGCTACTGGATTCCATCACCAAGTAGACGGCCTTACACTACTCACCTATTACAGTGGTGGTGCTGAGGCAACAGCGCTCAAGAGGGAGAAAGAAAATGAGTGCTGGCGCCTCTGATCCACTACTCAGATGATGGTAAAGTTCGAGAATATGTTCATCAGGTTGTCAAGCGCCTCTGGGTAGAACTTTCGCGCGAACAGGTAGCAGGGCCGCTTCATGCCATTCCACATGCACGGCCTCCTCTGCGCTACATGCTGCACAATGAAGACAAATGGCGCGTTAGAGCTTCCAGGGAACAAGGAATACCTCATTCGTTTAAGCTGGCAGTGATTGGGAATAGGCCAAGCAAAGCGAAGGACCGAATTACTCTACCTTTGCATTGCTGCTAACGTGGACGCTCTCATCAATGGACTGCGGGCGTTTGCAAAATCGTTAGATAAATGCCAAGGGTAATGAATTGTTTGCCCCTAAAGGCTCGAAGCTTACCGAGATGTTCTTGAGCAACTCGAAGCTTGTATCCACAGCCCTATAGACTTTAGGATGCCATTTCCCTTCAGACCAATCTACATGCGTCACTGACCAATTTGCAATTCCAGTCGGATCAACCATCTGCAGCCACAAATACAAATGCAGTGTTGTTCAGTAGTTTTTCTCAATAAAATGTTGTTGGCTGTTCAAAGAGAACAAAAGGCCGTCATCTACAAGCTTCTGAACACTTACATTAAAGAGAGTTGGCAAGTAGTGCTCGTCTGAATAGCAGTTACGCCATTCATTCCCTGGCTGTAAAGTTGCAATCACAACATCAGCAACGACATAAATATCAGGAAAAGGGGGGCAATTTATGGCATGTACTATACTCCTGTGCACCCTGTTCACCCTAAATAGCAGTATGTGCTATGGTTTGATATTATCTAGGCTGAAAGACACAGGTTAACAAACACAATTGTTTTCACCTTTTTCCCCAGAAATCCTCTACCTATTGTCTGAGCATATTCGAAGGTCTGCTTGTTACACATGAAAAATAACTTGACAGTGCTTTTAATAAGACAATGTATCTTAGAATGTCTTTTTTTGGTGTGGGGAGCAAGGGACCACCTTACAGTAACGCTTGAACTTCCCATAGTAAAGGGTGTCAGCGAGAATAAGAACTGCATGCTGCCGTTTTACTGTAAACCACTGTAAGAGAAGAACACACAAGAGCATTCAAGTTAACTATGAGAAGCCATAACAGCTGTTATAAGTAATTGATTTTGGATTGAATTTGGACGATAGAGGATTATTGGAAGAGAAAAAATACAAAAAAATGAAGCAACAACCATAAAGTTCCACTTTCTAGGGCGATCAGTCATATGAAACTATTACCTGTGCACCCTTTCTCCAGTCTTTCTTCACAATTTCAGGTAGCATATGGTCAGAATATCTACCTGCTCCATGTGGACCAGGATCATCAAAACTGAGAAAAAGATAATTTGGCATGTCAATAGCAAAATTCTTATTTAAAAAACATAATTTCAAGGAAAGCATATCTTAAATCAAATATCTTTTCAACTCTGATTAGGGGAAAAGTTAATGTGTTGCTTTATGTAAGTATGTTCAGTTGTTCACTTACCAGTCAACAAAACTGACGTTTGTCTCCATGAGATAACTATATATATAATCGAAGTTATGAAGTGGCACGCAGCTGCAATTAGAATGAAGTGTTAGGATACGGACCTATCACTGAAATTTAGATGGGAGCAGAACAAATGAAAATGATTAACCTCTCAGAAAGCAAGACAAAATGCTGGTTTTCAGGATCTTGTAGGGCATGAGCCAAGAGCCTCTTTTCAGCATCAACCATAGAAATCGTGCCCCAGATCACCTGGCAAGAAAATTGAAAAATTAGATCCTACAACAACTATAACTAAAACTTTGGCATCAAAATAATCTTGGACACAAATGCTGTAGGCAAGTACTACTGGCCATGATAGGTACAGGTGATGTTTCAACAACATTAATAAATCCTGGGTCATACTCTACAAAATATATCCATCCGTTTAAAGAATGGAGTTCTACAATTATTAGAGATGGCACTCTGAGAGAAAACAGAACATATTTTTTTTTCAAAATCAATCTGTATTATATTGAAAGTTAGCAAACATTTTCTGCATCAATGAGGACAGTACAGGTTTAAGCCAATTCTAGTTAGATACCTTTTCACTTCGAATATCCCTGCCAGCGAATATTGGACTTGAATGAACCGGTCTATCTCTTGATGCATGCACGTATATGGTGTATCTGTCTTCATGACCCTGAAAGTACACCCAAGTGGTTAGATTTGGTACTCATACACACCCAGCTGCGCAGGTGACTATGGACATATCCTTGTTCTTATATGAGATAGTATGTAAAAATTGAGTTTGTTTACAAAATAAAATAGTAGCTAAACAATTTATTTTACTAATAGGAGAGGATATTAGTGTTACACGCTGTGAGACAACCATTTAGTCAATTCTGCTAAGACTCGTTTACTACCTAGACATGTATTCACTGGAATTCACAAATACTGCAAAAATCATACCATGAAGAATTTTTCCCATAGCTTCTCAAATGGCAACAAACTGGGCGTCAAGAACATGAAAGCAATTTTTGGATTCTTTGACTGCACTGGCCGTGCCCGAATGATGTCTCTCATGATAGCACGAGCAGCAATCTCATCATCAGTGTATACCCTAGCAGGTTCTGGAGGAGGCCGAGAATTGCAGGCTTCTGATGGTACCAGATAACAGGCTGTGTAATGCCGTGGAGTATAAAGATAGGCTCCAAGGGCTACTGCACAGACAAAAGCAACCAAGACGACGATCCAGAGAGGCCTTCTAGATGAAGCCCTACTGCGCGATGCCATGATGTATCTGTACAGACAGGAAAGCAGGGCCTAGCAAGCTACAGCCATGCAATCATCCATAAGCACTCCTCTGATAGAACTGATCAAAATCCAAAACCCTGGGCAACACAGAGAAAACAAAACTTTTAGTTTAATGGCTTCAGGCTTTCAGCTAACACCATTTTTTTTGTTGCAAAACAGTTCATGTCTTGAACAACAATCCATATTGTATAACAAAAGGACATGTATAGAAGATTAAAACATTTCTAAGACACAATAGTTCAGAAACTGCTTGATATTGCACTAGGCTGGAAACAAAAGTTTAAAACTATATGTGTATACTAAAGAACAGAGTATAAAAACATATACTAAATAAAATACATAATTATGGAAATACCTATAGGTAAAAAAAATGAAAAAAAACTATATATATACTTGCTACCCCAAAACGAAAAACAACTATAGAGTACATTTCAATCAAGCCAATGTTCTAGTTAACAAGTAGGAGATTCTACAAGTCGTTCTGGGTTACAAAACAAAGCAGGACAGTTGACGTTTTCACCTGGAACTTGCCAATTTCTATCCACAGATGAACTTCAAGTTATTAGGGATAATAAAAAAACACAAGCTCTCTATGCATTTATCCTGTCTTAACCTTTTTTTTTTTGGTTCCTTGTTGCTTGTTGGTTCGTATGGCATGCATCAATTTTAAGTTAAATTCTCTGCACTGTCTAATGTTAAAGTACTTACATGTCCACACGGCCACCCATCAATTTTTCCACAGCACATCACAAAACCCTCCCTAAACCTCGCCAACCAATTATCACCAGACGAACTCCAAAATGGCATGGCCGCAACTTAGCTTGACGCGCTGAAAACCCTAGGCAAAGATTCTAGATGGATTCTCGACTCGATAACAAGGACACCACGCAGCACACGAGCCCACAGGTAACCGGGCAAGAAAATTTCGAACTTGAACGCTCGCAGACGGGAGAGAAAGGTCCCCAAGGACAAGGCAGGCGAGCTCCAACCTCCAACAGAGAGGCAAGGCAAAACTCGAGTCACTTACCCACAAGCGAAGAGGTCGATCCGAGTCAGTCCGGATAGACAGAGCTCCACTGATTCCACACCGCACCAGGAAGCCGGCAGCTGCCGTGCAGAGGAGCGGAAAGGCTAGGTCGACGGCGACGAACCACCGGCAGCTCGCGGCGGCCGCGGAGGATGACAGGAAGCAAGAGCACGCGCGCGATTCGTCTGGGTTACGGAGATGTTGGGGAGATCTAGACGGTGGAGGAGGGGGAAAAGTACGGAAGAATCTTGGGAGCAAGCAAGACTGAAGTGGAAAGATTGGCTGGACAACACCAACGCAGAACAGGCAGAGCACAGGGGTCTTTGCAGTCTGCAAACGCTGCTTCTGCTTGACCCCCTCGAAGCCAAGAAGAGGTTTTTGCATCTTGGGCACTTGAGCACGGTCTAATTACTCCATCTGTCTGGGTGCTTTCTGGAAAAAGGATTTTGTATAACTTTTTTTTGGTTCCCAAAAGAGCTTTTATATTTGTTCGATTCATATCTATGTCTGCTTAACGACCACGGTGTATGTCGATGTAGTTCATATTGGCTGCAAGTAGAGGTAGCAGATCCGTTCCACTAACAACGTCGGAGATGTCAACGTCGTCGAAGTAGTCACCGTGAGATGTCAGCACAAGCGTCGACGTCGAAGATCAGTGGCAGCTTCAACGGTGATGTCGACGTAGAGCTTGTCGTGCCGATAAGGTGTTATAAAACATGTTGCCAACGGTTAGAACCTTCTGAAAGGTCCTAATATGGCTAGAGGGGGGTGAATAGCCTATTTAAAAATCTACAAATTAACTAGAGCAATTTGATTAGTATGACAAATAGCGAAATGCAAACTTGCTCCAGCTCTACAAGGGTTGCAAGCCACCTATCCAATAATTCTAGTTACTATAATTACTAGACACACAATTTGCTAAGTCGCTACTCACTAAAAGCTCTCACACTTGCTACACTAAAGAGCTCCACTAGATTAACTTAAACTACAAAGCAAGCTCTCAATTCTAGGTACACTAAAGAGCTTGCTACAACTAGTTTGCAAGAATGTAAATGAGTGAGTAGGATGATTATACCGACGCGCAGAGGAGTGAACCAATCATAAGATGAACACTAATTCAATCATCGGGAGAATACCAAAGGGTAAGAGACAACCAATTTTCTCTCGAGGTTAACGTGCTTGCCAACACGTTATGTCCCCGTTGTGTCGACCAACACTTGATGGTTCGGCGGCTAAGAGATATTGCACGAACCTCGTCCACACAATTAGACACCGCAAGAACCTACCCACAAGTGAGGTAACTCAATGACACGAGCAATCCACTAGGGTTATCTTTCGGCGCTCCGCCGGGGAAGGCACAAGTCCTCTCACAGTCACCGAAGATGGCTACGAGCAATCATCAACTCGTGCTAATACTTCTCCGCTGCTCCAAGCCGTCTAGGTGGTGGCAACCACTAAGAGTAACAAGCGAATCCGGTAGCGAAACACGAACACCAAGTGCCTCTAAATGCAATTACTTAAGCAATACACTTGAATTCTCTCCCAATCTCACAATGATGATGAATCAATGATGGAGATAAGTGGGAGGACTTTGACTAAGCTCACAAGGTTGCTATGTTAATGCAAATGACCAAGGGAGTGAGCTTGAGCCGGACATGGGGCTTAAATAGAGAGCCCCCGCGAATAGAGCCGTTGGCTCTCTATTTCCTAAAAAATCGGGGTGACCGGACGCGCCAGTCAGATCGATCGGACGCAGGACCCCAGCGTCCGGTCGCGCAATGCACGCCACGTGGCCCCTGCTTCAAATGCTAATCGCCCAATCTTAGCGGTCATCAGTACACTTAAGTTGTGACCCGACGCACTATAGTGTAGGACCGGAACAGGACCCCAGCGTTCGGTCACTTCCAATAAGGTTCCAGTCGTGACGCCCGACCGGACTCACTCAGTGTCCGGTCACTCACGGTCTTCACTGTGCACCGCCACATCAGCAGGACCGGACGCTAAACAGTGTTCAGCCATAGTTCGGTCACCTACGTCCGGTCTCAGGCCGAGAGTACCACTTTATTTTATAATTGACCGGATGCTGCCTCCAGAGTCCGGTCACCACGTGACCAGCGTCCGGTGCACTGTATGAAACCCTGTCTTTTCTGTACAGGGCGCCGGTGGCACCGTCGAACTCTGTCGGTGAAGTTTTGAACCATTGCTCCCAAGTGCTAAACACAATATGTATCGTCATTGTGCATGTGTGTTAGCACATTTTCACTAACATTTTCAAGGGTGTTAGCACTCCACTAGATCATAAATGTATATGCAATGAGTTAGAGCATCTAGTGACACTTTGATAACCGTATTTCGATACGAGTTTCACCCCTCTTAATAGTACGGCTATCGAACTTAAATGTGATCACACTCATTAAGTGTCTCGACCACCAAAACGAAAAAGCTCATATCAAGTTTCACCTTTACCTTGAGCTTTTTGTTTTTCTTTCTTCTTTTTCAAGTACAAGCATTTGATCATCACCATGCCATCACCATCATCAAGTCATGATCTTCATTTGCTTCACCACTTGGAGTAGTGCTACATATCTCATAATCACTTTGATAAACTAGGTTAGCACTTAGGGTTTCATCAATTCATCAAAACCAAACTAAAGCTTTCAATCTCCCCTCTCCGTCTCTCATGATCAACATAGTAGATGAAAGTAGAACACATAGACACAAGAGATAGGGAGACTATTCTTTATTTCTCTCAATATTGATGATTACAATATAGAGCTCCCACGTATATATAGTCCTGCCAAGGTCTAAGAGTTTGGTAAGAGTTCACATACAAACGGATTAGGATTCCTCATTTTCCTTTTCTTCTAAGATAGAGTCCGTATGTTTTACAACATGCATACTCAACTTTGACGTGTAAACTCTTGACGTTAGAATTCCTGTGTTCTTATTTTTTATTCCAAAAAACACTTGCTCCCTCAATCTCTTTTTATTTGTCGTTCTCGTTTCCCGAAAAGTCAAGCGTACTCAACTTTGACTAAATTTATATAAAATATAGAAAATAATTAGGGTACATAATTAGTATCATTAGATAGATCGTTGAATCTATTTTTATAATAAATTTATTTGAAGATACAAATATTGCTAAAAATTTCTACAAATTTAGTCAAACTTAAGAAAGTTAACCGGCACAAAAACCGCAGCGACGAATATTTAGGGACAGAGGGAGTATTTATGTGTTTCCTTTATGTTTTCTTTTCCTCTGTTTCGCTAAAACATCTATACCCTATTCCATAACCTATTCTTGTGTTTTTTCTCGTACTTCTATTTTTCCCATTCCTTCTGTTTTTTTTTATTATCTTATTCCTCTGTTTTTAATTCTTCTATTCCAAAAAGGCCATAGGGGCCCTTTCAGAACACAGTAATTTCTTAGCCACAATCACATAAATCAATTTATTTTAAAAGAGAAAACGTTGGAAATAGAAAAAAAATATCTTATTTTAAAAGGGAGCTAAATAGATAGTTTCTGAATAAAAGTGTTGGCCCTGGCCGGCACCAGTTATTATTCTTCGTTTGTGACAGTCTCCATTGCAGTACCAGTACTCGAGTTGTCACAGAAGATGCAAACAGAGAAGCAGTGCAGGAAAAACCAAGCAGAGCCCTCCCTTTCAGACCCCTGCTTAGTCAAAATCCTACATTTTTTCTTCAGCAAACTTATATGGCTATATAGTAAGTATATAATAGTAACTATAATACTAGATCAAACACCCTGCACCGGCGATCTTAGTCTATCAGACGCCGGTGAGTCACCTTACAGTTGCTTGCTCATATGTGCACACCCTTCTTCCCCGGTGGAATTCCCACCCTACTACTACTAGACTACTACTCTACCACGATCTCAGGCAGCTTCAGCATGCTGTGGCCGCAGCAGCTGCTCCTCGTCGCCGCCGCTGTCGTCCCGGGGCACTTCATGTAGCTCCTGCAGCACGGGCTGGTCTCCCTGGCACACGCAGCCTGCGAGCTCGAGCAGGTGTCTCCACCTTTCACGCTGCAGCAGTTCTTGCTCGCGGCACAGTCGGTGGGCTCTGGGCTGCCGCTGCAGTCTTTCGCCTTCCCGCAGTGCTCCCCCTTGTGTTCTTCGCTGTGGTGGTGGCCTTCATCTTTGGCCAGGGCAGCAATTGAAATCGTGACCGCTTCAACTGGCTTGGCTGCGATCTTGTCCTTGTCATGAGGCTCATGGCAGCAGTGGTGGCTGTGGTCATGGCAGTCCTTTTCTGGCTCCTCAATCTCCCCATGCTCATGCTTGTGCTGTCCATGGTCATGGTCATGGCAGTGGTGTGTTTCTGCAGCGTGCACAGTTTGCTGCTCAGCATGGCACTGATGCTCACAAGCATGCTCAACAGTAGGATGTGAATGGCTGTGCTCCTTGCAGTGACTGTGCTCATGTTCATGGCAGCCATGCTCACCTGTAGCGTGTGAGTGGCTGTCCCCTTCGCAGTGCCTATGTTCATGTCCATGGCCATGGCAAGCACCCTCACTGTCAGCACGCTGAGTCTTGGGTTCTTTGCAGTGGCTGTGCTCATGGTCATGGCAATCCTGCTTGCCGGTGTGGTCATGGCTATGGCCATGGTCATGATCATGACAACCATGGCTCTCCACAAGCACCTGGTTGCCTGCCTCTTTGCAGCGGTTATGGGTGTTGCCATGGTCATGGCAAACATGCTTTTCTGTAACCACATGGCTGCTGGGCTCTTTGCAGTGGTTATGGCTGTGGCCGTGATCATGACAAGCATGCTTTTCTGTAGGGTGCTGGTTGCTCGGCTCTTTGCAGTGGGTGTGGGCATGGCCATGATCATGGCAACCATGCTTACCAGCAGACGACTCTTTGGAACAGCCTGTCGACTTGCACGGACCATCTGAGCAGTGGCGGGAAACACAGTGCTTCTTTGCGTGCGACCCATGCTGTGAAGAGGCGTAACATTTCTTCACCTTCCGACCGCCCTTTGATCTCAATAGCAACATGCTGTACATGATCACCAGCATGCATGTGCCAACATCTGCGAGAACGGCTGCCCAGATAAGCGGATGTCCAGAGAGTGCAAGTCCAACGATTGCAAGCTTGGTGATCACCGAGAAGATGATGTTCACGATGATAGTCCGGTGCGTCCTTCGTGCCAGCTGGACAGCCTTTGGGATCCTGCGGATGTCATTCGACATCAGAGTTATGTGGCTCGTCTCCATTGCAACAGCTGAACCAGATACGCCCATCGAGATTCCAACGTCAGCCTTGGCCAGTGCTGGGGCATCATTCATGCCATCACCGATCATCAGAGTAGGGCCATGTTTTGCTTTGAGTTCATCAACAATTCTCACTTTGTCCTCTGGAAGAAGTTCAGAATGAACCTCATCAAGTATGTTCCCAAGCTGCCAGAAGACAGAAGCCGCAACAGCATTAGTTGTCATATAGTCTAGAAATGATAAAAGTGCACAATACCAACACTACCATGTCTTTTTTTTTACCTGGTTCTGTGCATATGAAGCTGCTGCAGCACTATCCCCAGTAAGCATCACTGACTTGATGCCCAGTGACCTCAGCTCCCTGATGGCCTCAGCTGATCCAGTTCGGCAGGAATCCGAGAGAGTAAACACTCCGATCAATTGCCCTTTGCAGGCAACATATCCGATGGTAACTCCTTTCATATCTTTCATGTCAGGAACTAGAGCAAAGAAAGGGGCATGGAGTTATTCAAAGGTTAAATATGAAAGTGACAGTATTTACTGCAAAAAAAAAGTTCAATAGAAACTGTGCTTTGTTTTATTACAAGAAACTGTGCTTTGTTTCATTACACAATAAAAACACAAAAATCCTTCTTTTTAGTTAAATAACTAATGCAACCATGTTCCAGTGATCCAGTCAGACAACAATATGGATGAAGGACAAATACAGACGTTTTTCGAGTTGACGATTGTTAATTAATATCCCTGAAACAAAAAACTTGCTATGTCCTGCGGAACAGTGGAAGTGGCTTCATGTATGGTATATTGGTATCACTACTTCACTAAAGTTTATGAACTTATTTAACAGAAAGTCCGTGGCCACTAGATAACTAGCAACATAATTTTTTGGAAATACCAAGTTCATGTGTTAACCAACCTGTTTCACATGAGGCCCTTGACAAAATTCTTTTGTTCCCTATATATACACCTTCCCCATCGATTTCACCATAAATCCCCTCGCCGGGGTAGATTTGGAACTCAGTAACATTATCAGATTTGGGTTCGACTGACTTTGACTGGGCATAGTCAACTAGCACAGATGCCATTGGATGGCTTGATCTGCTTTCAATGCTTGAAACCCTGCAATAGACATGAAATTGAGTTTATATACACCCAAAGGAACCTTGTGCAAGGCGTAAATTACAGAGGACACAACACTCACCAGTAAAGAAGTTGTTGCATGGGGAAACATTCGCCAACTGCCTGGAATTCCTCAACACAGAACTCTCCTCTAGTGATTGTACCTGTTTTATCAAAAGCAGCAATTTTGATCCTTGCCAAGGTTTCAAAGACGTCCCCTCCTTTGATAAGGAGCCCTGTCCTCGCAGCCGTCAGAAGAGCACAGAAGGTAGCAACCGGCGTCGACAGCACTAGAGCACATGGGCAAGCACTCACTAGAAGGACCAGGGCCAATTGGAACCAGTGTTTGAGGTTGTGTGCTCTGATCACCACAGGAATCACTGCTACCCCGCAGCAGCATGACAACAACAGCTGGAGGTGTAATCCAAGATAACAGTAAGGGAAAACCATCTTGCATGATTATTCCAAAAAAAACCCATAATTGTATAACTTTTTTCCCTAGTAACTATTTGCAGTAATAAGCATCTAGAAAGGCAAAACTATAGCAAGAGTAGTCTCTTATATCTGGCTTACCGGGCGTATAGTACTTGGCACATGTATCAATCAGCCTCTGAGTTTTGGATCTACTGTTTTGTGCTTCTTCAACTAGCCTTGCCATTTTAGCCACTGCAGAGTGGTCAGCCATAGCTGTCGTCCTAACAGCAATATAGCCTGCCACAGCACCAATACAGAATCACCACAAGATCAGTAGCTTATTCTAGCCCCTGAATATATGTCAGTTCAAGCTGCAATGTAACACTATGTATTACCATCTATGTTGAGCGTGCCGGCCCAGACCTGGGTGTCTGGCTGCTTCGCAACTGGGAAGGACTCCCCAGTTAGGGTACTTTCATCAACCTCGCTCCGTCCATCCACAACCACACCATCAATTGGGACGACTTCCCAGCTTTGACAGCTATTACTGTATTCACCTTGACATCCTGAGCTGCGACCACTTCCCAGTCTCTGCTAGAACAGCCTTCTGTGGTGTCATACTCATCAGCGATGACATCCCAGCAGTCGCCTACATGTCAAACAATCGTTTAATTAGATCTTTCTGAGAAAAAAAATGCAAATATTGCCTCTATAACAAATATTTTACAAATATATGAGCGTTTATGCAACTACTATCTGCTTTTCTTACAACATGTTGCTTTTGGTTGTTGGTTATAAAGTTACCTAATCTGCTTTACACATGTATGAGTGTATGTGCATGTTTGAGTCCACTAGATATAAAGTTTATGTCTTGGCTTTGAGAGCTTTCAGGTGGGCATCAACACCATGCTCTCATCAGCATCTTAAAATGGTGGTACAATCAGCAATGTGGGCCTGACTCTTGTCCAAGCCATGCCCCAAATGGCAGACCGAGATTTGTTTATCAGTCCATCAGTGGGGATAGTGCGCATCCAATCACCGAGCATGCGCTCACAAACGTGACTAGCCAAGAAGAATTAGATCCTTCTCTGTGCAGTGGGTTCATGTGTGGTCTCAGAGATCCGGCATCTATTATAATTATTTCTTATATGCAAAATAAACTGCTGAAACAGATGGAAAGACCTTGTGGCTCGCCCTGGTCTCAAGCCATTCAGCTGTAGTGAACAGAAAAACAATGAACCCAGCCTCAGAGTAGTCCTTCAGAGCTATCGCCCCAGAAACTGCAAATAGATCAAAAAAGGCATTAGAACTCTACAATCTAGCATTCCATCCATCTACCAAAAAACCAGGCATTCATGCCATGGCAGAACCTAAAAAAAGTGTCATAAATACAATAACAAGGAACAGTTCTATGTGATGGCAAGATAGCATGGACCATCCTAGGTGAGAGGGTAGTGCCAACAAAGAAATATGGTGGTGACTGTACATACAGACCGCAAGCTGTTGTGGCGATTCCTTTGATACATGTTGTATGCATATACCGGGATAGAGCGATATTGGTACCATAAACAAAACCGATCCAGAAAGTTCGATTCAAACGATATGTGGCTTCATCCTAAAGGAATACAATTCCCTGTTAAGGTCACATCACATCACCATACTGAAGAAAAGCATGCACACTTCAGCCTGTTCGCTTGCTCGTAAACGATCGTAAATTTCCAGCCGGGAACAGTGTTTTTCTCTCACACCAAACCAGCCAGCAGTAAATAATCCACGATACGATACGGCCTCCCGAACAGGCTGTCTGTTCATGTAGCATATACATTAGCACCACATCACATATCCCTTTAGTGCAGTGGAAAGCCGAGGTCCCTCCAGAGCCTTACGATTAGGAAGAGAAAAAAAAGGTCGGGCAAGTGAGACAAAAACTTTTTTTGGGTGCCGGATCGGTTCGGCTCTCCCTCCCACTATGGAGCCACCATATTGGTCCAGGAAAAACAACTTGCATGGCCCCTCTTTTTTTGCACAACCCCATCTCCCACATGGACAGATACGTTAAGTGCAGAATTATTAGCCCCAAAGTGCGGGTATCTGTCGGGGCTTACATGCATGAGCAACAGATGATCATGACATGATGAAAATGAGTTCCTATTTACTAGGCCCAGCACCGTTATGTGATGCAACTCAAGAATAATTCTCGGTGTTAAATGAAGAGCAATTCAAGCAGAGGACAAACCATCCCTGTCAACCTGTGGTGAAGCAGAAGGAGGGGAGGGGTTGTTTACCTGCAATCAGCATGAGTATGTTGACATCAAGGGTGAGCCTCCGGGCAGCTGCAAAGCTCCTCAGAACGATCGGCGGCAGGCCGGCAGCCGCCGCCACCAGCGCGAACCATTTCAGGGGAGGCCAGAAGTGCTCGAAGAGCGACACGACCAGGAAAACCCCGCAGAAAAGAACGTAGGGACTCGGCCATTTGTTGGCTACCTTCTCGGAGCCACTGCCGTAGGCTCGAACAGACGCCTCCAGCCTAGCCTGGTTCAACGCTTTGACTGAAGAAAAAAAAATACAAAAGATCAAGTCAACCAAGGTTCAGAAATGTCACGATTGCGATAAATGCAGGCGAGATTGGCAAGCCCTGTTGTCAACAAAAAAAAAATGGCAACTCGATGCAACTGGTATTAGTACATCTCAGAGATAGTGTTAATTATCTCAGAGATAGTGTAAATTTTCTTTTATATAAAAATGGTGGGGACGATTGGGTGAATTCAGAGTGAAATTTACACACGAGCAGCGCGTGGTGCAGAGACCAGGGTCTTGGCGATTTCAACTCTCGGCTTCGCTCGAGACCGAGAGACTTTTCTTCACTGCGGCCGCGGCCTTTTACATCAGGTGGGCAATCTGTTGCCACTTGCCTATCGCATCCCCGTGACAGCAACCACAATCTGTACGATCTCTGCGGACTCAGGCCTGAGGAGTAGGTTCAGTCCGCCACCGACATTTTTTTCTTGTCGTTTTCGTACCGGTGATGCAAGAACTGCACTGTTCTCGCAGCCACTGCACGGTAAACGGTACGAAAAAAAAATCGTGCAGCAGCAAGCAGTAGCAGCCATGTTACGATTGCTGCTACGGTCACGATCACGACAAGCATTGCAGCCCAAAAAAACGCACAAGCCCTGCTACTACAGCACTACTGCACTGGTGGGTCCCGGGGAAAAAAGGCAAATTTTGTAGCGGATTCGTCGTTGAAAAGAAGGGGGGAAAAACAAATTTTGCGTGTTGCTTTGCAAAGAAACGAGCTTTGCGTGATCCCTCCCTGCATTGCCAAACATATTCCCCGGGTGATTAAGCATGAACAGAGTCCGATCCTTTGTTTTTTGTAATTTTATTTGAGGAGGAAAGAGGAAAAGAAACGCGGAAGATTGCGTGTCGGGAATGGCGGCGGCGGCGGCGGGCCGGCGGCGTCCATGATTGATTTTTAATGACGTCGTATGTATCTGGAGGTGGAGTCGTGCGGGCGACGGCGGACTCCGGTCAGGGACTAGTAATAGTAGTTGTCCAAGTCCGGTCGCGGTCCCGTCTCGTCTCCGGCGCGTGGCGACGCGGAACGAACGGCCGGCCATCTCGAGCGGGAAGGGCGACCGATGGTCGGTGGTGGGAAAAAAGAAGACAAAAAAAGGGGGGAAGGGCACGCATACCGATTTGTGCGGGCGACATGGCGGCGGCGTCGTGGAGCACGATGACGGTGCGGGAGGGGACGATGACGGTGACGGTGCTCACGCCGGGCAGCGGGCGCAGCAGCTTCTCGACGAGGGGCACCTCGGAGGGGCAGCAGATCCCCAGCACGTCGAAGTAGCTCTTCTGCAGGGTCCCCGGCGCCGGCGGCGCGGCGTCCCCCATGGCTACGCCTCCGCTCGCTGTCCCTCCGGCTGCTCTGCCTTTGCCTCTCTGTGTCGTGTCCCGCCACAGAGGAGGAGGAGGAAGCGGCCAAACCTGCAGGCGGCACGAGGAGGAGAAGCCGAGTGGTGTGAGCGGAGGCCAGGCGGGCAGGCAGGCCAGCAATCTTGGCGTGCGCGGCCGGGGTTTTTTTCGGTGCGCGTGCCGGATTGTATAAAGAAAGAAGAAAGCCTGCGGGCGCCGGCGGATGCAGCGACTTACCCCGCCTACCCGCCCAGGCGGCGGCCGGTGAGTCCAGGAGGGAGGAACGGACTGATGCGGGCGGCGGTGTTGGTGGCGACTGGCGAGGCGGTTGCGTTGGCCGTTGGCTGAGTGCGCGTCTGAGCGAGCACCCACCCCTGGCACTGGCAGAGCCGCAGAGGGGAAAGCAAAGGAGTGGGAGATGGACGCGGGGTGCGGGCAGGTATTTTATAGACCTGACGCTGGGCCGCGCGCGGTCCGTCACTGTGAGTCTGTGACTGGTGCTCTGGTGCGGTGTGGTGGACTGGTGGGTGCCGACGCGCGAGGCACAGTGCACAGGCGGCACGCCCCGCCCGGAAAAGCCGCGGGGCCACCGGGCCGGGGCGGTGGTTGCCGGGCGTGCCGTGCCAGTTGCCAAGCGGCCAAAAAAGGCTGCAGGTGGAAAGAAAGATAGAGGAGTAGTCCAGACGGAGATGACTCGTCGTCATCATCATCGACATCCATGGTGCGTCGTTGGTGCCGTCACGCTGCTGGCTTCTTTCTCTCCGTCGACCATCGTCGTGCGTGGCCCCTCCGGTCGTCCGCGCCTTGTTACAAGTGTCAAGTGTGCACGCGCGATAGATAGACGCACCTACATCTACATGCCGCCAGCAGTTACGTACGTACATTCGCATTCACATGCCCCACGTACACGTTACGTACGTACACGCGCCACCACTGGTCCACTGTAGGTACATTATACTCTCATGCATGCATGGTGATGGTGAGGGTGCATATATATACCTACATGCATTATTCTGCTGTGCATCGTCTATCGATCATGGCCATGGTCATCTTCCGTTACGGCCTTACGGGGTTGCATTGGGCAGCTTCAACCTTCGCGATATCTGGCCGTGTGCAGTGCCCAGGCTACATTTGTGAGCCATGCACGCATCCAACGCTGACGTACGCTCCGTCGGTCGCTTGCCCCATCTCCCCGGCCGGTCCCTCACTTCGCTTTTTTAAGTGTCATATATCTATACCTATATCATATATCAATATATATACTCTAACCCTCTTATAATCCTAAATCCCACTAGCCATTCTATCTCGACATGCAAACAATCAACCTCAAAGAATCCACTATCTCATGCATTTAATTGTTGTCATTAGTATGCAACGCCATCCACTACCATTAATTCATAATAGTTTTTCTTTTCATATAAGTAATTTAATATGATTTTATTTTTATTTATTTATTTATCTATAATTCTTACGGTAACCATGTGGGTATGCTTCTAGTATCAATATATTGAGAAGTCTGGACGTACTCAGCTTTAACTAAGTGTATATAGAAGAGATTACCACTCTTCTTTTTTTCAAATTAGAGATGCTTTGACTCTTTTAAAGATATTGTTTTTATTATGTATATCTAGAAATAGTGTATATCTAAATACATAGAAAAAACTATACATGTAGAAAAGTCAAAATGTCTTATAATCTAGAATGGTGGATAATATTTATGGTGGGTAATAAGTATTACTAGATTAATCATTGAATATATTTTTATAATATATTTATTTAGAGATATAGATATTATTAATGTTTTTTTTATAAATTTAGTCAAAGTTAAGAAAGTTTGACTAACACAAAATTCTAGACGACACTTAAAAAGAGAAGAGACAGAGGAAATGTAAGTAGGCTGCTAGTTTAAATTAGGCTCATGAGGCCCCGTTTACAACAAAGGATGTACGAAACTCATGAATAGGATCGAAAAGACCATGCAAATGATCAAAGAAACACTACTACAGGAATTTTAATCGTATGGCGGGCAAGCCTTAACCGAGGCGGCAAGCCAACCGCCTCAGACGAAAGGTCACGGTTAATCAGGCTTTAACCGAGGTGGTTGGCCCAACCGCCTCGGTTAATCGATTAACCGAGACCGTTATTATAATCCAACCGCCCCAGTTAATGCATATTAATCGAGGCGGTTTCCTTAACATTCCCGCCTCGATTAATGGATTTTAAAAAATAAAAAAAACTTGGCGAGCCCACCCATGAGGCCCACCGAGCCCATCGACGCCCTACGGCCTCCCGTCCGCGGATCTGGCTGGCGCCGAAGCGCCATTAGTCGTGCTTCGCCGCCATCGACGACCGCAGCCGCGCCGCCTGACCGCTAGCGCCGAGAAGAGCCACTCGGGTCACGCCTCGCGAGCCACCACAGGCTGGCCCCCTCGCTCGTCGCCGCTGTCATGAGCCACCACCTGGGGTTGAGCCGTCGCCACCGCCAGACTGCCCCACGCCGCTCATTGCACCGTGAACCGCCGGGCTGGGCGTGACTCCGCCGGGCGTACCCTCACGAAGCTACCGCTTAGGCCGAGCCATCGCTGGCCCCGCCGCCGCGATCCTCGCAAGCCGCCGAGGGCCGAGCGCCATCGAGAAAGCCCTAGTTTAATTTTTGGATAATTGATGAAACCTATCACTAACCTTTGTCATGAGTTGCGATATGAGCTAGGTTGGTGCAATCCAAGTGATTGAGCAAGATGAGGTCCATGGAGTTGAAGGTGGACATGAAATGATGATGATCAAGCTCAACTTGAAAAAGAAGAAAGAAAAACCGAGATGATCAAGGCAAAGGTATATGATAAGTTTTTTCTTTTGCACTCAATACACCATAGAGGGTGGAGGACTTGTGATCGATAACCAGCATTTATAAAGAGGGGAAATATTTAGCTAAATGGTTTATCGAATGCCACTAGGTCACATGACTCATGCATTGCATTTAGAAACCTAGTGTGCTAACTTTGACCCTTGTAAATGCTTTGAAAAATGCTAACTCACGTGCACACAAGTTCTATACTTTGTGGTTAGTGTTGGAAGCAAGGGGGAAGTGGTTGTGGACTTAGAAATGAAAAGGAGGAGTCAATAAATGACGGACATTATCGCCACGCCCCTAACCGGACAACAATGAGTCCGTCAAATTTAAAAGTTGGTGCAAAGTCGGCCGAGGGCAAAGCAAGGCTGACCGACGCCGGCGCCGAGTGGATCGCGCGTCCGTCCACATTCTACGTAGGAGGCGTTGCCAAGATCGGGCGTCTGCAGGGTTGAGTCCGGCCAACGCCGACGTATGGTGACGCTAACATCGAGAGCACGCGTATGAATAGTGAGAGGATGGACGCTGGGGCACGCCAGTCGCCTCTAACCTGATGCATCCGTCAAAGAAAACCGCTCGGATGCTCTCTGGACTTGATCTCGACGCCAAGTGATCCAGTCCGGTCGCTTCATCTGTGAGTCCGGTCATAACTTAACCTTAGGGCGCTTTGTTCGCTTGACTGCTGGAGATCGACGCCGGTATTCAAAGCGCTAACACGTGGCACGAGATCCATGACCAAACTGCCTGGGGGCATCCGGCCAACCCGACCGACGCGTCCCAATAATAATGTGAGGGCGCCTCCTTGGCTCTAATAGCTCTATTCATTTGGGGACGCTCTATAAATAGTGTTTGGCCGGCTCCAAGGCAACTCTCTTGGTATTTTGACATACTTGACATCCTTGTGAGCCTAAGCAAACACCTCCCACTCATCTCCATCTTCGATTCATCATCATAGTGAGATTGTGAGTGATTCCAAGTGCATTTGTTTGAGTGATTGCATCTAGTGGCACTTGATCGGATCGTTGTGGCTACGGATTTTTATTTCTTCTGGTGGTTGCCGCCACTTAGACGGCTTGGAGCAATGGAGGAGCTTGACACGAATGTTGGTGATTGTTCGTGGCGGGTCAGTCGTGATTGTGAGGGGTCTTGTACCTTCCTCGGACGGAGAGCCAAAGGTAACTCTAGTGGATTGCTCGTGTCATTGAGTTACCTCTACTTGTGGGTAGGTTCTGCAAGTGTGTCCAATTGTGTGGACGAGGTTCGTGCAACACCTCTTAGCCGCCAAACCATCAAGTGTTGGTCGACACAATGGGGACTAGCGTGCCGACAAGCACGTGAACCTTGGGAGAAAAATCGCTCTCTATTGCCCCTTAGTATTCTTCCGTGATTGAATTGGTATTCATCTTATGATTGGTTCACCTCTCACGCAAGCAGATAATCAACTTACTTACTCATTTACATTCCTCAAAACTAGTTGTAGCAAGCTCTTTAGTGTAGCTAGAATTGAGAGCTTGCTTTGTAGCTTAAGTTCATCTAGTGGAGCTCTTTAGTGTAGCAAGTTTGAGAGATCTTAGTGAGTAGCAACTTAGCTCTTGTGTGTGCCTAGTGATTATAACAACTAGAATTATTTGGATAGGTGGCTAGCAACCCTAGTAGAGCTAGAGCAAAATTGCATTACGCCATTTGTCATACTAATCAAATTGCTCTAGTGATCTTGTAGATTTTTTAAATAGGCTATTCACCCCCTCAGCCATATTAGGACCTTTCACGCCACCGGTGGAGGCGGAGGGCACCGCCAGAGGTTGAGGCGCCGCCAAGGCTGGGAGGTGGATGGGGCCAAGCTAGAGGCTGAGGACGCCACTGCTACTGAGGTGGATGGGGCCAGCTAGAGGTTGAGGATGCCGCCATCACTGTAGGTGTTGGGGCCACGGATGTGGAGGGCCACCGGAGTGGATGGAGAAGCCACCGGGTCGCACAAGAGAGAGAGAGAGAGAGAGAGAGAGAGAGAGAGAGCACAAAGGTGTATACCTAGAGAGAGAGAGAGAGAGAGAGAGAGAGAGAGAGAGAGAGAGAGAGAGAGAGAGGCGACGTGAGAGAGAGGGGGGAAGGAGATATTTCTCTCCGTGAAGAA